ATAGACATATTTTTTTCTTTTTCTTTTTTCTGCTTTGATGATAGCGGTACTCATGACGAACCAATGGTGTCGTTTCCTAACAGTATTACCGTGTTGTTTATTCTTTCGGTACCGTTATTATCAGAGAAAAGGAAAAAAAATACACCTACATATGAAAGAATACTACTTTTGTGAGTATAACAACGACGTTCTGAAGAAGAAAAATTCTCATCGAAATGTCGACATAAAATAGTATATAGTATCATATAATTAATTTTAATTTTATTCGAATTTATGATTTTATCATATATTTCACTATAATGATTATATGTTTATAATTTTTATTTTATTCAATAAGTTAATTCATAAAGGAAGAGAAATAGTATTGTTAAAACTAAAAATTTTCTCCTCTGATTTTCAGTACGATATTTTTATTGCGAAGCGATTGAGTTATGATAGAGAAAACGCAGGATTATGAACAAAGTTTCCACTTGTTTCTCTGATATGTAGAAGCAACATTTTTTCTCAGCAATGGAAAAAGTTTCAAACGTGGCAATTCATGTTTTTGCTACGTAGAAAATGACGATTCGGATAATATATTAATGAAGATTTTGTCTGGCCAAAACAAAATGATATTTTTGGAAAATCAGCTACTCGAATGAGTTGAAACTCATGATAATGAAGGCTGAGGATCCGCTATTTTATAGTGAATAAAGCCTCAAAACAAGTTTTCTAGAGATAATTTTACATGAAGAATCCCAAAAAAGGGTGTGCGGTGGTATGTGAGTGTGGATCTTCTTTTACTAAACACGCATACCCAAAACCACAACCACACACCACATCCTCGAAAGATTATTTAAGAAACGATCCACTTTGTTCATCTTCTATGACTTGAAAGCTACTGAAGAATTCCTTATACATGTCCAATACATAGAAGACACTAAACTCTTGTGAAAAAGAAAAACCTAACAATGAAAAAGCTGAAAATATCGCGTCAGGAGAGCTAGAATACTCTTAAGAGAGAGTCCGAAACAGGAACACTCTACTCCCCTTATACGCCACCGGAGAAAAACATTTTTTTCGATTTAATTATCTTAAATAAACGATCTAGTCATACCATACCTAAATCCAGAATATTAGACCATTTAATTTTACCAGTGAAAAATGCGAACTAAAACAAGTATGAAGAGACTATTTTGACTCGAAAAAATCGCTATCCGAAGCCTGTCTCAGTATTTTGACTTTATCCCACGAATAACTTGACCTTTTGAGCTCGGAAAAGTCTCATTGGATAGAAAACAGAATAGGCTACAAATTTGTTTTATTCAAGTGACTAATATAAAGAATTAAAGAAACCATATAGATGAAAAATTGCCCAAACCTAAAAAATTCGTTCTTCCGAGATGGCGGTATTTTAGGCTTTTCCTGCGTGGTGCAAGAGATCTCAAAGTTCTTTTTTTACTAGACATAGATCTTCTCAAGACATATTTGTTGGCATAAAATTGTCAAGAGGGTGCGGGTTGGTGTGGGCGTAGGTGTTAATGTTAAATTCCACCATACCAACACTCACACTCACACTCACACTCACACCTACACCCACACCCCTTTATTATGATAATTTTGCATTGATATAAAGCAAATGTTGGTATTTGTCTTATTCGAAAAGCATTGAGTATAGAATATAATAGGTTCATTTAATCTTGGGCTATGATTGCAATCCTTGTCGGTCTGAATGCCTGTCGACTACCCATGATTAAGTATTGTCCTAGATTTACTAATCCAGGCACGGTGAGTTTAAGAACAACAGTTAATCCTCCATAAAGGCCTATGATACTTGTTATGATATATGCTAAATCAGGACGCTGTCGAACTGTATAAGTGCATGAAAGAGGTGCACACGTTTCAAAATATTGTTCATAGGACACAGCTGTCTCCCATTGATCGACCAGGAGTCCATCGATAAGAGATTGAACAGTAGAGTTAGATGACGAAAGAGTAGAATTGAGCGGATTAACGGTGAAATCTGTGTGATTATACATAAAACGAAGCATATCAATACATGTGATATTATAGAGACATTCAAGAGTTGACTGAAGAAGAGCTTCGAGTGGATAGCATCCGACACGAAAACCAGGTACAATTGATCCATTAAATACTGCCTGTGAAATGCACATAGCGTTTGTGGCGCATGAACAGTTATCATTGCCGTAAGATCTTGGTTCAGGCCATAAAGAGGGCCATTGGGTTCTTCTGGTGAACGTAGTGTTTAACGAATGAAAATGCCAATTAGAAAGAATAGACGAAACGATACCATTACCTTGTGCAATATCACGAATAAAATCGAGCTTGCGTCCGAATGTTCGAGGTACTGATATGCGAAACTGATTTAGAGTAGCATTTACTTTTGATTCAATAGTTTCACGAAACTGTACTTTCTCGCTGATCATGATATTTGTGTTAAAAAGATATATTGACTCACTGATGGTCTCATTAGCAAGAGTACATAAGGCAGCAAGCAATCGAAATTGTGGTATGGCGAAGAGGCGAAAATCAGTATATGAGTAGTCACGCCCAGCCCGTGGTGAGTAAAGTAGACGAATCCAGACAGCGTTTTTGGTAACAAAGTCACTCGAACATAATTGATGATAATGGACTGCAATCGAAATGAAAGCACTGTAAGAAATAGTGATATTCTGACAGGAACATTCGAGTGTTGGAGAGTATTGCGGATTGAATCGAAGCTGATCGAATATTTCTAACGAGGGTTTATGAACTGTGACAAATTGAATTTGAATAGCTAAACTGGTATAAAATATGAGAATAGCGACAGCTGTTGTAATCAACAACAGATATAACCGTGTCATCCACGTTTCTGTTTCACGACGGCTCTGATCATCCCATGATAGTTCACTTTCGAATATATTCAGTTCTAGTATCTTAATTTTTAGCAAATGCCAAATGGTATGTACACGATCGGCATGCGAGGGACTAGCTAGAACAAACAAATATGTATACATAATTATCATTGAACATTTAGAAGACCCTTGAAACTGCTAGAATGCATAGCTCTCGAGCAACAGAATAACAATACGAAGTTGGAGTACTGCTATAGCCGTTAGAATTTTACTGGACTCTAATCAGTCAGAGAAAAAATGCTAAAGTGGCTAAATTGCATATGTCAGTCTTGGATGTATTTTCATATTCAGAAAGATTACGCAGCGTGATAAACCAGTACACAGATTTTTCTTGATGAAACTATTGTGAAACAACATTTACAATTCCATTGTTCTTTCGGATCACAGAGATCCGCTGAAAATATATCTTTACCGTGAAGATAAAAGCTGTATTACTATACTTTGAGATTTCGTATTAACATGGGAAATTTCATTTGGATAAATCAGATCAAATACGTTTAGAATCTTTTCTATGGAACCTTTTTCTCAGACTTCTAAGGATTGTTTAACAATTAAGGAATTTTATGTTTTGGTATGGCAACCTTTAATTAAATTTAGATCTACATGTTTTATTTGTGTATTTGCCCTTACCATGAACGATCAATCATAGAACGGTATACGAGGGTGTCTCATCATGACTCGGATTCACCTCTACTGGTTACTTAAGCGCATCAAATGTGCGAACAAGTTCGCACAGTTCTTCTAAGTGATAACATGTTGCAGACTTCGAATCGGTCAAAGTTATCACGATCAATATTATTTGAGACAAAACCGATCGATATAGTCTTGTACCTTTATGATACTACCGACTCTACAATAAAACGACAGTCGGATTTCTTTGCATGAGCTATGCTGCTATATCGCGTAGATCGTTGGACTAAACTTTAACGACGTGTAAGCTTATTTTCTATGTAAGATAGAATCTAATCCAATAGTATTGTTGAAAACGTTTTGGAGAGGGTACTGAACATGGCCAAACGACTTTGCCAATGGAAGAAAACAAGGTGAAGATACCTTTATCGCCCCTTCGTGAAATTTTTCTTGTAACGGAGGGAAGAGCTCAAGTCACACTAGACCCCTCTCTACGTGTCTGCATAGTATGTTCACATATAGATGCCCTATTTAGTTTAGCGTACAATAATATGTTACTACTGCCTGTCCAATGAAAAGATGGACGTGGGTATTTTTGCAATAGCTTTCGATAGGAACAAGATAGAGACCTAGAGTTTTCACCGTTCGACAGAGGACAGAGAGGGGCATCGAAACATGTGATTTTCATTGGTCAATAAATTGACCAATCACATGAATTCCTGGATGGACATTATTAAGACAGGATTTTAAAGGTCAATTTCTGATGTGGTTTTGACTTGTAATAGCACCATTCGATATCAAAAATTGTTCTCTGTCGATCTACGCAAGGCCGATCTTTCCACCTTGTTCCATTCAGGAGATATAAGGGTTGTCCCGAAACCCCCCGTTTTTGGCCACCTGTCCTCTGATTGCTCTGAAATATATCTAGGGAGGGGTAATTGGTCATGCTGAGTCGAGTGGTGATATTTTTTTCGTTTCAAAGCGGTCCAATATTTCTATAGCGAGTTTTTTTACGTCTGATATTTTCTCACTATAGGATCTAGATAGTCAATATTCGGAAAACTCGCTATAGA